TGTGTGTTCCCTGGAAGTGTATCCCTCTTCTCAGCTTTATTTGGGAATAACTGGAACCTTTTCCAGCTGCCAGAGTGTCCCTGAGTCACTCGTGGCCTCCAAGCTGACCCAAAATAAGTCATTGATTGATGCTGCTGGGAAGGGTTGGTTCAGAAAGATTCTGTGCTCTCCAGAAAGGCTTTTCCAGAGCCTCAGAAATATTTGGGATGAGTCCTGCTTTTCCTTGGGGTTTTGGATTCGTGAAGACACCACAAAATGCTCAGGAGAACACGAGGAAAACCTTCCCTTGCTGGGAATCTTTAAAAATGATTCTTGGGTTAAAGTGTTCTCTCAGGAACATTTGAGACCCCCTGAACTTCCCAACTCCATTTTTAGACCCCCTGAACTTCCCAATTCCATCTCTGAGACCCCCTGACCTTCCCAACTCCACCTTGAGACCCCCTGACCTTCCCAATTCCATCTTTCCAGAGATGGATCGTGCCATGGGGGGAGGATTTGAAAGAGAGTTTGGAAGGAATGAAATGGGAATGTCCCGGAGTTTTGGAGAGACCCTGGAGAGAGGAATAGGTGAGTACATGAAATAAATTCCATTTACTGCACATAAAAATCACCAGTGTGTTACCATATTTTTTTTATGTTATATTTATTTTTATTTTTTATTTTTTTATGTGTATATTTTATATCTATTTGCTGTAGGAGTTTGGTCAAAACCAAACAGGAGGCAGATGGAAACACTGGGAAATGGAATTTCAGAAATGACAGGAAACTTCTAACAGCCCTAATACACTTAATTTTAATATATTCTAATGCAATAAAAATAGTTTTGAGGGCTCTAAGCCTTAAATAGACAAGGGATATTAAGCATTAAAGCACTTCTGAAAAAAGAATACTGGAAGACTGTGTTGTGTTCCAGGTGGTGGCAATGCCAGCATTCCTGAGGATGAGTTATTTCAGGAATGATAAAGTATTTCAGGAATGATAAATTATTTCAGGAATGTGAGAAGATGTTTAGGCATTTTTGTCCATGTCTAGTTCCTGATTATCCCTGTGTTGTGTTCCAGGTTTTGGAAATGCCAGCATTCCTGAGGATAAATTATTTCAGGAATGATAAGTTATTTCTGGAATGATAAGTTATTTCTGGAATGATGAATTATTTCAGGAATTATAAGTTATTTCAGGAAGGTGTTAAGGCTGTTATGTCCCTCTCTAATTCCTGCTCATCCCTGTGTTGTGTTCCAGGTTTTGAAAATGCCAGCATTCCTGATGATAAATTATTTCAGGAATGATAAATTATTTCAGGAGTGATAAATTATTTCAGGAAGGTGTTAAGGCTCTTTTGTCCCTGTCTAATTCCTGCTCACCTCTGTGTTGTGTTCCAGGTGGTGGCAATGCCAGCATTCCTGAGGATAAATTATTTCAGGAATATATTTGTCCCTGTCTAATTCCTGCTCACCTCTGTGTTGTGTTCCAGGTGGTGGCAATGCCAGCATTCCTGAGGATAAATTATTTCAGGATAACTCCTGCTCACCCCTGTGTTGTGTTCCAGGTGGTGGCAATGCCAACATTCCTGATGATAAATTATTTCAGGAGTGATAAATTATTTTAGGAATGATAAACTATTTCAGGAGTGATAAATTATTTCAGGAAGGTGTTAAGGCTCTTTTCTCCCTGTCTAATTCCTGCTCACCTCCATGTTGTGTTCCAGGTTTTGGAAATGCCAACATTCCTGAGGATGAATTATTTCAGGAATGATAAATTACTTCAGGAAGGTGTTAAGGCTGTCCCTGTCTAATTCCTGCTCACCTCTGTGTTGTGTTCCAGGTGGTGGCAATGCCAGCATTCCTGAGGATAAATTATTTCAGGAATGATGAATTATTTCAGGAATATATTTTTCCCTGTCTGA